ACCTGTATTTTCTCTCTCTCTCTCCTTGGCCTTTATATCAACCTTTTTCCTATCTTTCAAGCTTCAGGGCTCACCTCGCATCGGCTCTCTCTCGGTCAGACACAAACACAAACAGATAACAAGCATTCGGAGTTACCTTACTTCTCTTCTCTCTCGATGGATCGAATGGTTTCTCCGCCGGACACCAGCAAGAGCATAAAGCTGGAGAGATACAACAGCTACATCAGGAGAGTCAACAGCACCAAGCTGCTCAACGCCTCTTCCAAGCTCCTCTTCCGCGCCACCCTCCTCGTCGCCCTCATCCTCGTATTCCTCTTCACCTTCAACTACCCTCCCCTCGCCGACACCACCCACCGCCATCTCCACGCCCACTCCCACTTCCTCTCCTCCGCATTCGGGGCCTGGGAGAAGCAGGTGCGCCACTCCTCCACTCCTCGCCGGCCCAACGGCCTCACCGTCCTCGTCACCGGGGCGGCGGGCTTCGTCGGCAGCCACTGCTCCCTCGCCCTTAAAAGACGGGGGGACGGGGTGCTGGGTCTCGATAACTTCAACTCCTACTACGACCCCTCCTTGAAGCGCGCCCGCCAAGCAATGCTGGCCAAGCACCAGGTGTTCATCGTGGAAGGTGACCTCAACGACACGCCCTTGCTCCGGAAGCTATTCGACGTCGTCGCTTTCACCCACGTCCTCCACCTTGCCGCCCAGGCCGGCGTCCGCTACGCCATGCAGAACCCCCAGTCCTACATCACCGCCAACATTGCGGGCTTCGTCAACCTTCTCGAAGTTTCCAAATCCGCCAACCCCCAACCCTCCATAGTCTGGGCTTCCTCCAGCTCCGTCTACGGCCTCAACACTCAGAACCCCTTTTCGGAGCTCCACCGGACCGACCAACCCGCCAGCCTCTACGCCGCCACCAAGAAAGCCGGGGAGGAAATCGCCCACACCTACAACCACATTTACGGCCTCTCCCTCACCGGCCTCCGCTTCTTCACGGTGTACGGCCCCTGGGGGAGACCCGACATGGCCTACTTTTTCTTCACCAAAGACATCCTCCAGGGGAAGACCATCGACGTGTACGAGACGCAGGACGGGAAGCAGGTGGCTCGTGACTTCACCTACATCGACGATATCGTGAAGGGGTGCCTCGGGGCTCTGGACACCGCCGAGAAGAGCACCGGGAGCGGTGGGAAGAAGCGTGGGCCAGCCCAGTTGAGGATTTACAATCTGGGCAACACCTCCCCGGTTCCGGTGGGGAACTTGGTCTCGATTCTCGAAGGGTTGCTGAACACCAAAGCCAAAAAACACGTGATCAAGATGCCTTCGAACGGCGACGTCCCCTACACACACGCCAATGTGAGCCTGGCCTTCCGCGATTTCTCTTACAAACCCACCACCGATCTCCCCACCGGTCTCCGGAAGTTCGTGAAATGGTACGTCGGTTATTACGGACCCCACCTGAGGCCCAAAAGGGAATCTCTTCTTGACAACTGATGCCTTGGCCACGTCATCATCTCCATCTCCATCTTCATCTTCCTTAATTATTGCTGTCATTCTTTTTTGTTAATTATTTTCCGTGGACCCAAATGTTGGTGTGGCAACTATACACATATAAATATCTGATGGTATAGATGAAAGACATAAATGTGAAGGAAAGGAACACAAAGCAAGTGTCTTACTGTATGTATGTATGTATTGTGTAGATCTGTATCCAAAGCTAAACCAAAAGAGAACGAGGGTTGTAATAATGGCTGGTGGGGTCTGCCACAAAGGTTGCAGATCTCTCCCCTTCTTTATCCATATATTTTCATTTCACACCTTTAATTTACTTACCTCTTTCTTTCGCAACCCTTTCTTCTTATTTTTCAAGTCTTTTTCCTACCATATACATATGTTTACCTGCATTTAGTACACCCTTAATTTTTACTGTTTCATCCTTCTTCCTCCATATACGTCTTGTTAAATTCAACACTAACATGTTTCTTTTTCCAAGTAGTTAAACATCTGTTCTTCTGATTTAAATTTTAGTTAAGAAGTAACTGTGACTACGTGACATTATCATACTTCTTTTCTGGTTATAACCAAGTATTTCGTAAAAAAGAACAACATTTCTTAATATAAGTACAATTGTCATTCTCAAGTTGTAAAGTTGTAAAGTTCTTTATTCCCAGGTCCCAATCCAAAGAGGCATTGTGGGCACCGAGCACATTTCACTTCTTTCTTTATTTCTCCCTAACAATAAGGATACAATACTGGAATTTACTGTTTATAAACAAATACCGTAATTTAGGTACACCTTTTATAAGAGAATGCGTTTTAGTTGTGTTACTACAAAGACACAGGTTAAAAACTTGCGGCTTAAAAAAAGGAGCATAATTATTGCAAGCTCCGTAGGCCTTTTGGTTGTGTTTGGCCACTAAGTCAAGATTTTGAGAATCCAATCAAGTAATTATGATTCCCTCTGTCCTTTGATTCTATGTTTGCTGCTTATTTACTGCTAATTATTTTCATCTACATTAATGCTATTCTAGTAAACTGTTTAGAGCTTATGAGAGTGAAGTTGGTGTAACTTTAACCCAAACCTAAAAGTAAACAATTCACATGTTCAAATTTCCACCATTAATTAGTTGCAGCACACTAAAGACTTATGTGTGTGAGTGTGTCACAAGCTTCTTGTCTTTTAGAACTTTAAATCGGATGGTGTGTGCATTCACTGCACACGGCGATTGCCTCTTGAGAAATGGAACAATGATATGTATGCAATGTTTGACCAAATGGAAGAAGAAAAGATTTTTGTGTAGAAATGGGATAATTTGAATGGTGGGGAAGACCAATACGCGTAGACTGCAACCTCGTTTAATATTCTTCCTGTTACTGCCATTGCCAACTCACTCTATCACCTCATTTCTCACGTGTAATCATTTCATAAAGCTAATGCTAACTTAACTAAATCCCTGCATTCCTCCATTCTTAGATCAAACATGATATACCTATAGAATTGGTGAGCTTCAAGTTAGGGAAGGATCAACTGAGAGATATTGTCATACCAATGAAAGAGTCAAGAATTTATGTCTCTTTGTATTATATCTGATCTAGTTGACAACCCATGTCTTCAAATCGTGTTCTGTTAAATATAATACGATTTACGTTTCCAAAGCTTGGAACCTTTTTTTCCGAATAAATCAAAAGAGATAGAAATTAGACATGGTGTCTACGATACTTATATAACAGAGTTGACCACCGGAGTCTTCAAATTCTCATTAAACTAATAATGTTTTTCATTTGTTCAAAGTGTGAAAATTCTACACCGACAGTCCATGCCTACTATACATTTTTAAAATAAATCTGTATCAAAATTTGGGATTAAGCGTTTATCATGATCCAACATGAAGATAGTTAAAATTGATTTTATGGAAGGAAAAAGCATGGTTTTGTTATTTTAATTTTATTCTGAAATTAAAAGGAAAATGGTTTAACAATGGCATGATCCTGCTAGAAGGCAGGAATAGAGGGACAGAGTTAATGTCAACGGAATGTTTCTTCTTTCTGTTATTTTAATGTGTAAGAGTAAGGGGACCAATTAGCAGAAAAGTCAGGAATAGTTTACCTTCATAATATATAAGTTTGAAAGTTTGCAAAGATACCAAACTTGGTTGCACAATGCATGCATGACCTATGCACACTATATTTTCTATGAATATCATCACTAGATAAAACAAAAGTCGCGAATTTGGTTTTGATTAAATTTAAAAGAATAACTGTTTCCCTTATTGTTTTTGAATTATAAAGTAATAAAAGTGCTATATTGTGAAATCATGAGCTAGTGTCACACAACCTTAGACAAAAGATGTGATGAAGATGGTGTTTGAACTGCAAACCAAGAGAAAAAAATGTGTTGGGTTTGTATGGTTGTGATGTAATGTTGATAGAAGAGGACAAATGTTGCAATTGAGAGGGAGAAAGACACTCCACCATCAATGTTGTGCAAGTGCTATTTCAGCGAAAAAATTGACGTGATCCATATCTTTTCTTAACGCATAACAGAACAATAACAACAGGGACATAAGCACATGCACCCCACCTTATGGTCACCGACACTCACTGCACATTCCATCCACGAAAATTATTTTATCACAAAATATTTAAAAAGCTCTTCGTAGAAACTTTATTCAACTTCATACAAATTGTGAACTAAAAATTACTCCAAGTGCTTTTATTAAATTTGCTAATGAATTTTATAATATTTTTTTCAAGGAAGTTGTATTAACGTTTTCTTGAAAAATGTGTTAATAAATCCATTTGGTAATTAATGGGCGTTTTGCCTTCAAAGGTAGAAAACTAAGTCACCATGTCACATAACATCATAGTAGTAAACGTGTGGTATATTATTATTTGCGCTTCAATATTCACGAATGAAAACTAAAATTTTAATTTTAATATTATTCAAAGCGTATCAAAATTCTCTCCACTTCTATTTCCTCACATTCCAGTATTCGTCCCCAACATAAAATTGCAAAACATGCCAAATTGCAAAGCCACGCCTGACGGAAATTTCTCTATATATTTATACGGAAAACATCCTTATTTCACGTACTTGTTTTGTCGTTCAAAACTTATCAATATTACAAATATTACCATTATCCTTCCACAACCAATCACATCTACAATACTCATACGCTCCGTTTAGCAGTAGATACTACATTAATAAGGGACTAATTTTATTACCATGTACAACAAATTCTCACAATGCACACTCAGTTGCATCAGCCCCTATTTCCACTAGTTAAAACTCTATTAACTTATAAAACCACCATTTTATGAAAAGTGATTAAGAAAACAGCATCTATTGATACGCTACCACACAAATAATAATGATTGGACAGTACCGCTCCAGAAAATCAACATTAGAATTTTAATGCCCTCGGGTGGGCTCGGTGATTTTTAAGGCCCAAATAAATGAACCCATAATTGAAAACTAATCAGAAATCCAACCAACACACATTCCATAAAAGTCGTTAGAATAACGTAACCAAGAAATGTTACCGAAGAAAACACGGCATTCCACTAGCTACCTTAATCGAAGTTTTAGGCATAAACATTAAATCTCAAAACTAAGCACGAGCACCAGAAAATTTAGAATATATTGGATCACCAACCACCACCACCATAACCACCGCCACCGCCATTACGAGGTGCATAACCACCACCACCAAAACCACCACCACCACCAGGTCGTGGTCCAGAAGATCTATCAGTTGCATAAGATACCCTAATGTTTCGCCCATTTAGATCCTAAAGAGCCACCATAGCAAGTCAGTCAACTAACAACGACTATGACAACAGAGCTAAATATAAACAGAAGAGCATTCTTACCTGCCCGTCCATTGCAGACAGTGCCTTACTTGCAGACTCATCACTGGAGAAGTTGACAAATCCAAATCCCCTTGATCTTCCGGTGTCTCTATCAGTTATAACCCTTGCTGTTAAACAGAACCAGCAAGTATAGGTAAGCCAGAACCAAAAATATGATGGGGCTGACATTTTTTTAGTGCCGGCAAGAAATCTGACCGGTTAACTTTTCTAATGTTTTATTCCAATTTCGCAAATAACCAAACCAGTAAATTTTCTCTTGAATACACTGGCACCAAAATATTCTCGTAGCCATTTTTACAATTAAATTACAAATGCTATGCAGCTTTCAGTACACAGGTGATATGCCCAGACACAATGGCATTCTTCAACATACTCCAGCTGCCAATAAAAACCTAACGGTGCATCAATTGTCAATAAAAGATAGCAAAAATTGCAGAAGGCTGAAACTCTGCTGCTGCAAGTTCAGCAATGCCATTGTGCTATACCGACAGCTAATAACGACTATGCATGTTATAACGAAACCGACTACAGCTAGACAACATATAGCAATCCCATGCTAACAGGTGAATCCATTGCTAAATGGGACCACAAGATAACAATAACGAAAGAAGCCGAACTCACCCTCAACCACGTCTCCAAAATTAGTAAATGCGTCCTTAAGAGACTGGTCATCAACTCCGTACGAAAGGCCTAAATTATCAAAATACCAAACCAATAAAAACATAAAATTAGCATCAACATACGTGGTTCGTATTCATCACAATCATTGCAACAAATGTCAATACCTCCAATGAAAAGCTTGCTTGAAGACATGCAGCGAATATAATTAAGCATGGATGCAACAGGTGCTTGTGTGCTGCGAGCAGCACCCTGCCTCAAGACATTTCCAACCGTAGTAGAAAACGCCATTATGACTGCTGCCTAAACTTGGAGTAACTGAGTTCCTGAAACCAACAATAAGACCATTAAGGTGACGATCGCTAGAATAAAAAATACATGATCATGGTAACCACAAACAACAACCGAATAAAAAAAATTCTAAAAGGTTATATAGACCTCACTTCTCAAAATACAACACAACTTTTGTGGTCTCGTTTTTTAAGGCATTATAATCTCCATATGGCAAACGAAGAAAAGACAAACAAAAGTAGTGATGACAGAGAATCTATTATTCTCAGAGACCAAGTAGCATGAAAGTCGGTAAATGCATCAACCAAAAATTCAAATAAGCATATTGGCACCTGAACGGCAGTGGGAAACCCGAAAAACGAATGAAAAGCCCGTGACCCCCCAAAACTCCAAGGAAACGATCAATACGAATGAACAAAAATTAGGGAAATGAGAAAATAACAGAGAAGCGAGTGAGATAAATGCATAAAAATTATAGGGTTCGAGGTAAAACAGGGAAAGAACGAAGAAGAAAAATACCGAATGGAAGAGGGAAGAGCAATGCGGCTCGCTAGGGTTTAAGCTGAAATATCAGAGAGAGGTGGCTACAAAAATATCTCCTTCTTTATAGACAGAGTGAAGGGTAGTACAGTCCAGAATCAATCCTCTGCATCTAACTCTACTTTTTTAAAACTACAACCGCTTCCTATTGCTATACTTTCATTTCTTTTTCTTCCTTCACTTTCTTCATTAACGCCTTTACTTTCGGGACCCTATCTTAGTGTTCTGAACCAGCACACTACCAAATCATTTCACCGTTAGCAAACAAACACACAGAGTAAAGTCAAAATTGTTTTTTATGTAGTTATTTTTCCTTTTTCCGTATTTTGCATAAAATTAAATTTTTTATTTAATATTAAAAACACTTATATTTACGATAAATAGGTTGATAACTTGATACTAAAATATATAGAGAACATTTTAAAAAATATTATAGAAGCCCAGGTTTTTTTCAAATGTAACAAAACCTTTGAAAGCTCCCAATCCAATTCCTTCCCCAACTTGTCCTTTTTCTTCATGCACCCCCATAAAATTTATAAACGTCATTTCACTCTTCTTAAAAAAAATTAATAAATTCACTTTTCCTTCTCTTCTCAAAGAATTGCGTTATCATTAATTCCCTTAACTCTATTTTGAATATATGTTTTTTTAAATACATTTTGAATTATTCATTTTCAGAATACATTCTAAATTATATATTTCATAAAGTAGTTTCAAATTTAGAAATACTTTCAAAATACATATTTCTTAAATATATATTTTTAATTACATTTTGAATTATATATTCCATTACTTTGTAAAATGCATGTTTTGAAATACATTTCAGATAATGTATTTCAGAATATAGTTCCAAAAAATCCAGATGTTGCGGCAGAAGCTCGTACTTTTTTGGAACTAATATCTTTAGTGGTACTGTAGTATTTAATTGAATGTTCGGTATTAATTGGTGGCTTTGATTTTTAGTTAAAAATACACTTAAATCGATCATATAAAAAATGTATGCGTTTGATTCGATTTGTACATACAAACATCAATATTTGCGATTTTGTTTCGATCGATTTTATAATTTTACTGTGTATTTTTTTAATAGGTCTATTTAGTTTGCTCTTTTTGACATACCAGTTTAATATTATATTATATTATAATAAATAAATTTATTATTTATTTTGTTATGATTAAATATTTTATTCTTTAATTTTATTACAAATTATTCTTATACACGTGTTTTGGTAGTGTTTATTATGATTATTTTGAGTCTGATCTGATATTTGAACCATGTGTTGAGTATATCATTCAACAGTATAATCACGTTACTATGAGATTGATCACATTTTATTTATTATTTTTTCTAATGCTTATATATGGCGGGAAAATTGTTTCAAAGTTTAATGAACTTAATGTCTTTTTTTTCTCATTTTCTTAAATTAGGAAATACAGACTATTTATATTTTGTTTGTTACATTTTTATGGTCTACCAGTAATAAAGCTTAAGTGATACTTTTAACTTTAATATTTAGTTAAATTTCGACGACTTTATTAGAATTAAATGTGTATATTGATTTAAACTATGTACACATATTAGTAACTGTCAGATTGATCCTAAAATTGTGTTGTCAATTACTAATTAGCAATATTACTTGAAGTATGACTTATATTAAGATAATATTAAATAAGTGATAAGTAATCATGCAAAAGAAAAAAAATCTTATGTTTATCCTGAGTCACGGTTCATATAGTTATTATAAATAGTCATTATTATTTATTATTATTTACAATATATACTAATTTGAAGTTGAAGTGTATTTACATGCAAATCAAAAATATTCCAAGACACATATTGAATAATAAAAAAATACAAATAGATAAGTAAAAAGCGTACAAATACATATGATCCTTTGTAACAACAAAATATAATAAAAATAAAAATTAATAAAATGTATAGACGAAAAAAGACCATATATATATATATATATATATATATATATATATATATA